CCCCAAAACCCCAAAACCCCAAAACCCCGAGTATATTAAAAATAAGAATATCAGAGAAATGGAAAACTAATTTAAACCAATATTTATTGAAAATTATCTAGTAAGAATAGCTTGTTTATATCACTTATTTATTTAAATATCTTAAGTATCTGTATAACCTTTATTTCAATGAATATGTTGCCTTGCACTGTGCTGTAAAGGTGTTATTCTTTCATCTTTGCCATAGAATACTTTCTTAGTACCTTCTTGAATATTATCAGCCTTCATAGTTCCGATAACCCTTTTGTCTAGTTCTTTATTATACTTAAGTAAATCCATCATCTCCTCAAGAGTCTAAGTCTTCTTTGCCTCTCCATTAGTTGTAGTCTAGTTTCCAAGTCGCTCTGTCCTTGATCCTTCAAGTCCTATTGACTTAAATTCTTGTAACTCTGGCTTTTTAATTTCAGGCTTCTTGATATCAGATAGAAGCGATCTTGTTTACTAAGGTGGGTTTTCTCTATGAGTAAGGAAATCAGAGTTTTATTGCACTTATCTATAGTTGGATTTGGCTACTTGTGGTTCCTCATGATACCTTGAAAGCTCTACATTCTTTAGAACACTAGGAATACCAGCTATAGAGCCCATAGTTTTATTTTCAATATCCCTTTTTCGCTTTTCCTCTATTTATCTTTTTCTTTCCTCTTCTTGTTGCTTAAAGTCCTTATCGTCATTGCCAAAAATACTAGACATGCCACCACTACTATTACCTCTTACTCTAGATGATTGAAGGTTAAACTATTGAGGCGATGAATCTTTCAATAGATTACTACTAGTTTTATATCTATCTTCGACAGCTTTATTTTCATTCTATTGATTAGAATTGCTACCACCTCCTCCAAATAGACTGCCTACAGTTTCATTCCTTCTCAATGGTTTTTAAATATCTAATGCTCCTGATTATCTCATACTGGCTTATTCTATAGCTGTTGGGATATATGATTGCTTTTATTATGAAATATAGTTAGCTTAGCTTGATTATAATGCTGAAGGTAACTTATTTTATTCTTACTAGAGATTTTGCAGAGTTTTAGAATGCTACTGATTGTTATTATATTAATCCTAAAATGTAACTTAAGCAGTCGGTTTCAAGTCTAGGTCTAACTTGTAACTTCTTCCTTATTAAGTTGTATACAAGTTATCATTGTTATTCATTCTGCTAGAGAGTAAAGGCATGCTTTATCTATTTTAATTATCCCTTGCAGTTAAAGCACCACCATTCTCAAACGGTGAGCCCCTTCTGTCTCCCAAGAGACTCATAGTCTCTGTTGCTTCTCCTAGTTGGCCAAGTAAAGCATTTGAGATTCCTTTACGGTTATATCTTCTGTAGTTATCTTTGTCATTATTTCTATCGAATCCTGGTAACTGTTTCACATAAATATCGCTTTGCATATTTTCATAGGCAACTAATGGCTTAATATTGAGTTGTCTTTCTCGATCACTCATTTCATTATATTTTTTCAGTTCTCTATCCTTGAAATCATCTATTTGTCTTTTAAGTTAATCTGCATACTCTTTGGTTTGATACTTCTAAGAGATCTTTCTTTGCTGATCCATTTAGTTTAAAGTATCAATACTACTTTTCAAAACGGTTCCATACACTTATTCTTCTATTTTGTTCACAGTCTAGTCTTACTTTCTTTTTTCCATTTGGAATTTATATGTGTCAACTATATGCTCTTTCTGCTGCTTCCTCTATTGCTCCTCCATTTATTTTCTCTTATTTTCTTCTTGCTGTCTTTCTTCCCATTATTTTTTCATTGTTTCAATAGCTTATTACTTTTAATACTAACGTTCGTCAGGGGCATAACCTACAGCAGTTTTAAATTCTCTAATGTGAGCATGCTTGTCAACGGTATCGTGATGATCTTTTACTGCTCTGATATGGTTATTGTCCACGTGATTGATGAAGTTTTAATGATCAAACTTTTCTTTTTCTCTTATCATTTATTAAACCTAATGCTTTCTATAAGCTTCATCTTTGTACCAATCTTAGAGATCCTGCTTTTGCTTCATCTTTTGTAGCTCTTCATGAGTTTTAGCCAAGCTCTCATACATTTGATCATGCTGATTCTTTGAATTGAACTTGAATTTCTCCTAATCATCTTGTCTTTTCTCTTGCTCTCTCTTTTACCTGAGCTACTCCATGTTTTCATTCATCATGCGTCTGGTGTTCTCCCTCTCCTCGTATTTTGTAAGCTACTCACGTTACTTAAACACCTAAATAAAAAGATAAACGATTGGTATTCAAAGATTTTGAGTTATAAAAAGTGAGGCTTACTGTGTTGTTTTACTCTAAGATTTTTCTCTATTCAAAGTCGTGCTTCTCCTTATCCATTTCTAGAGCCTTCTCCCTGAATCCATTTAGCTGTTTATCTAACTCTTGCCTATAATGACAGTTATACAAAGATTGATTATGGGGATAATGTTAATTACCTGAATTTTTGTTTCTTTTGATGCTCTTTTTATTGTTATTCCTACTCAAGAAGCATTTAGACTTCAGATTAATGCTATAGAAGGGCTCCCCACTCGTTTACAAATCCTTTGGGATGCTTTGGCACCGATCTTTTTCTCAATGAATACTCTGAATGATTGTGATATTAACTCTCTGTATCGTCCATAATTTTAATGTAAAGGTTTATTTATAATTTCATCACATCATTAAATCCATTTATAAACATTGAAGGGGTTTTGGGGTTTTGGGGTTTTGGGG